GGTCCCTCACCGCGGCCGCTATGCACGACGGTCGTCCAGGACACGTCCAGGACATAGCAGGCGTGGCACTTCTCGACACCATAGCGGGTGCGCACGGGGTGGCCCTGAGCGCGGCCGCTATCCGATACGGTTTTCCAGGGCAAGCAGGCGTGGCACTTGCTCGACACCATAGGGGGTGCGCAGGGGGTGGTCCCTGAGCGCGGCCGCTATCCGAGACGGTCGTCCAGGGCATAGCAGGCGTGGCACTTCTCGACACCATAGGGGGTGCGCAGGGGGTGGTCCCTGAGCGCGGCCGCTATCCGAGACGGTCGTCCAGGGCATAGCAGGCGTGGCATTATCTCGACACCATAGGGGGTGCGCAGGGGGTGGTCCCTCACCGCGGCCGCTATGCACGACGGTCGTCCAGGGCATAGCAGGCGTGGCATTTTCTCGACACCATAGGGGGTGCGCAGGGGGTGGTCCCTGAGCGCGGCCGCTATCCGAGACGGTCGTCCAGGGCATCGCAGGCGTGGCACTTTCTCGGCACCATAGGGGATGCGCAGGGGGTGGCAATGGCCACCAACATTATTCTCACATGCTTCACTTCAGCTATCATCACTCCAGCCATAATATAAGTATGTGGGGTTCCTCGATAGCGTAATTGTGGATGGGGATGCCATATGGCGTCCTTGCACCTGGATTCCTTCTGCGGTGTCCGCAATTCGGTCATTTTTTGTGGCGGCCTACACATCGATTTCGCATCGTGGCGGCCTCGCAAACTGTTTCTTCTTGTGGTGGCCCACCTGGAGATTTTTGTATGGCCGTGTGTCATTTTCATTTTTTCTTGGCGGGTTGTAAGTTGATGTCCTTGTTTGTGGGTTACGAAATGCTTATATTTGCTTACCCACGCATGTATTGCCGACTGTGGCGGCCTCACGTGTAGATTCCTTGCGTGGGAGCCCTCAGGCAGATCATGCGCAATGTCGGCATTGCATTTGAGCTCCTTTGGTGCCGGGTTGCAAAATTGGTTATTATGTCGGTCGTTTTGTGGTAGGGTTCTTTCCGTGGCGATTATACCATGGAGTTCTTTATGTTTGCAGTTGGCTTCCTTGTGTGGCCGCATTACACGTCAACTTCTTTTGTGGCGGTCCACAAGCAAATCTCAGTTGTGGCGGCCTCACTTGCTAGTTCCTGTCGTGGCACATTGATTGATGATTCCGTGTGGCGGCCTCATCCATGTATCCCTGCTGCGGCGGCCCTACGACTGGATGCATGGCGCGGTTTATTACAATTTGCTTCGTGCTGCGACAGCTCTTGATATATCTATGTGTATGCATATGTATACGTATATATGTATGCACATGTAGTTGTGCGTATGTATATATGTAGATATGCCTGTATCTATGTATATGTATATGTGTGCGTATGCTTGTATGTATGTATGGCCGCGTGTATGTATGTAGGTTACCGCATGTATGTGTCTATGCAGGTATGTCTGCATGCACGTATGTGTGATATGACATGCTATGCTATGACATGTTGTGTGTGTGCACATAGTCGTGCATGTATGTATGTATGTATGTATGTATGTATGTATGTGTATGTCTGCATGTATGTGTGTATGTGTGTGTGTTCGCATGTGTGTATGTATGTGCATATGTACATATGCATATGTATGTATGAATGTACGTCAGCATACATGTTTGTACGTATGCATGCATGCATGTGTGTGTACGTATGTGTATGTGTATATATGTATGCATGTTTATGCATGTGTGTATGTATGTGTACCCGTATGGTATGCTATGGTGTTGCATGGCATGTTGCGATATGGCATGGCATGCCATGCTATTGTATGGTATGGTATGTCTTGCATGTATGTACGCATGTATCCATGTACGCACGCACGCGTGTACGTATGCATGTCTGTATGTGTATGTGTATGTGTATGTGAATGTGTATGTGTATGTGTATGTGTACGTGTACGCGTATGTGTATGTATGCATGTATGCATCTATGCACGTATGCATGAATGCATGTATGCATGGTATGTGTATGTATGCATGCATGTATGTGTGCATGCATGTAGGTATGTATCGATGCACGTATATATGCATAGATATATATATATATGTATATGTATATGCGTGGACTGATGGATGGATGGATGCATGCATCTATGTATGTGTGTATGCATGTATGTATGTATGCATGTTCACATGTATATGTGTATGTATGTGTGTTTGTTAGTTTGCTTGCTTGTCGGTTTGCTGTATGGTTGTATGCATGTGCATTCGTGTGTATAGTTATATATATGTGTGTATATGTATAAATACACATGCATACATGCATGCATGCATGCATACAGACATACATACATGCATGCATGCATGCATACATACATGCGTACATGCATCCATACATCCATACATACATACATGCATGCATGCATACATACATACATGCATACATGCATACATGCATACATGCATACATGCATACATGCATACATGCATATATGCATACATGCATACATGCATACATGCATACATGCATACATGCATACATGCATACATGCATACATGCATACATACATACATACATACGTACATACGTACATACACACATACACATACATACATACATACATACATACATACATACATACACATACATACATACATACATACATACATGCATACATACACACACATACATACATACATACATACATACATACATACATACATACATACATACATACATACACACACACATACATACATACATACATACATACATACATACATACATACATACATACATACATACATACATACATACATACATACATACATACATACATACATACATATATACACACATTTGCATATCTATATATATATATATATTGAACATAGCCCGGTGGACGAGGGCTGGGGTATCTGGCCCAGCGACCTCTCCGCGCCGTGGGGGGCCACCGCCCTCCGAACGGCTCTGGGTGGCTCGGCGAGAGATTCCGGGCGGCACAAAGCGCAGTAACATGTGTGCAATGTTGTCTGCCCGTAGCTTGCTCATATGGTTTTTGACGATGTTCGGCTTCTCGACGTTGCGTGTGCAAGACGCTCTAAGACGGCCCAAGAGGCTCCCGAAACCAACCCAAGACGGTCAAGAACCCCCAAAAAGGGCCCCAAGGCGGCCCCAAATGGGTCGCAGACGACCCCAAGAGTGGCCCAAAGACGACCTCAGGCGTGGCCCAAGAGGGCGAACGAGAACCGGCAATTCGAGCTTTCCGCCCCAAGAGCCTCCCCAGGGGCCCCGAGGCTTCCGAGAGGCTCCCGAAAGGCCCCCGAGACGCCCCCAGAGGTTTCAAAAATGCCCCTAGGAAATCCCTCCAGGCCGCGGATGGGCACACAGGGCTACAAAAGATCACCCGGACCGGGCAGGAGGTCCCCGATCGATCCGACACACGCGCCCCAAACACGGTCCACAACCGCGCCTGGATGTCGGTGCCGCTGAGCAGCTGGATGGAGGCGGGGATGGGCGCGAGGCTCCTGTCCGCCACCTCTGCATCGACTTCGAGCTGTAGGCCTGCGTGACCGAGCAACTTCCGGCACTTGCGAGCGGACTCATCGAGCTGCGCTGCAGCTTCGGCTTGGCGCTGAGCCTGTCGGCCGAGGCGCGCGCCCCAGAAGCCCCGCGAAGAGGCTTCCCCACACAGCCACCCTCGCAGTGGCATGTTACACGTCACGTGCCGCCGTCGACGGAGCGCGAATGGCACCGCGCCTGCCCGGCTGGTCGCCTGTGCCGGCAGAACAACTGTTGACAATCTGGTCGTTCGTTTATTCATGTTTTTGCCGATCGGCGCGGGCCCTCGCCCCCCCCCCCCCTATGGAGTAGCTCTTGGCTGTTTTGGACGCTTGTTTCGAGCAGGCGGGGTCTCCCCCGTAGGAAGGACCGCTGCAAACAGTCGCGCGAAGCAGAGGTGCGCAGCCAGACCCCCCCCCCCCAATGGCGAAACGCCGAATGAGAAGAAGCTCGCGCAAAGAAGTCTTTCTGTAATCTGCAACGAAAGGGACCGATGTACAAAATGCCACGCAGCGGAATTCCATGTGTAATGCGCCACGAAGGGGATCTTTCTGCAATCCGCCACGCAGGAATCCTCGTGTAACCGAACAACTTCCATTGGCCACGAAGGGAATCAACGCGCGGCCATGAAGGAATCAAAGCGCAGTCTGTCACCGAGGGAATCCCTTTGTGATCGACCACGCGAGGGGCCAAATCATAATCGAAATGCTGATTGCTTTTTTCCCGCCGCGGAAGTCCCCGCGCGCCGCGGCGAATATTTTTTTGCTCGACCGCAATGGGTTTGATCAGAAGACGGCGAACAACCAACAACGCATACAAAACATAACAAGTGGCACGCGCGCCATGGCTCTTGCGCAGAAGGGGGGGGAGGGGGGGGAGGTGAAGGAGGAGGACGGGGATGGGATATAGGGCGCGAGAAATCGGAGAATGAGGGCCCAATGAGGGCCGCGCGATGGGCTTGGCAGGGCGAGCTCGAGGAGGCCCCAAGGGCCCTCCCCCGCCAGATGGTCTCCAAGACTTCCAGCATACCCCCGGGAAGCCTCCAGCGAACGCCGAAAAAGTCCACAGAGGATCAGGGGCCCGAGACGGAAGCGGGGGGGGCGCAGGGCGGGCGGGGGGTCCATTGGGCTGCTGGG